CCATACATGTAAGCTTTTGCTAAAATTCATTTCTAGCCATCTTCTTTTCTGCTATTTCTGTATATTCTTCATTAGAAAAACCTATTATCTCCATTATGATGAGTCCCAAATCTATTATTTCCTTCTTATATAACTTTCTTCTGAGCTTCACTTTTACATGCCTTAGTATTTATAGACACTTCAATTTTGATATTGTGTTCTGACCTAAAACTCAGAATCTCTAAAACTGAACTCTTGAACTTGCCCTTCCTAATCTCATTTCTGTTTATGTATAATTAGTCTTTTAAACCTAAAACCTCTGTTATCTTTGAGTAGCTCACCTTCCTTAAATCCATAGCCAGTCAGAGATTAAGTTCTGTTGATTCATTCTCATGCTCTCACCAGTGTCCCTTTTTTCAGTCCCACTTCAGCCTCAAGAAAATTGGATTTAGTGCTTTTACAATTCGTTTAGCAATTAAACATGTTCAGCCATGTGATTCTTCTCTATTGTCTTGAACAGCTACTTAAATGCGTCTCTACTTCATTTTCTCTTGACTGATTTTTTTTTTGTATTCATTTTCTCTTTATGCTGACTTCACAGAAAGTGTATTAAGAATGCATTTTCTCTTTATATTAAAATAATAACCATTCAAGACATTTTTTCATTTAATTTGAAAATGGTAGTCTATTGGCTAAATTAGGAGCAGAAAAGGAGGAGAGTTATACCTTTTCATATCAAGGAACTGACTTTCAAAAGTGCCTAAAGTAAATATTCTTACCTTACAACATTCTGGGGTTGAGCAGCCTTCATTCAGCATTTTTGTCAAAACTGCTCTGGTAAATCTGACAGTCTATAAGGTAACAATGCAAGAAAGTATTCTAATTGTTTTGAGATGGGCATGTTTTTTGTTTGTTTACTAGATGGTGCTAGGAGTTAGCCTTATAAATATTTTGTGGGTTAGTTTTAATCAAGGACTTCCTGATCAATACTTTATATATAATGTTGGAATCAATATTGGTGCTGCAATCTTCACAAATGTTTTCTCACTATAATGAAACTCTGACTTACAAGTAGGCTGTTTCCCTTGCTGACCAATGGTTATTAGTAATAGTCCATGTGGAAAATCAGTTTGTATCTCAGGAATGAGATTCCTTTTCATTTGGTTTCTTTCCTGGCACAGTTATCCTTTGAACATTAATACTAATACAACAAAGGAAATTTATCACAACTTTACAAAGATTTGGGTTACAAATGTCAAATTTGATCTTTTCAAGTACTGAAAATCTTAGTGTGAATGAAAGGTAGAGGCTCATTTTCGGGTGACCCATCTCCTCTGTGAAAATGTTAATTTCCCTAGGCCCTGCCCTGGTTTCTGAAGGGAAAAGGGGACCTAATAGCTTTGTGTATATCAGTAAAATAGTACATGCTGTCTGCGTTGTTACCACTGTTACAGAAATAATTATGAGGTTATAACCTAAAGCCATAATGACTGAATGTCTTTTGTTGCTAAATCCTAAATTACGTGAAAGGTACAGACAATTTTAAAAGCATCCAGAGGAGACAGAGGAAAATTGCTTAAAATTTTGGTGCACAGGTTCTAAAAGGAAATTGAGATTATTCAGTTTGATTTCTCTTTTTGTGTTATTGCTGAAGATCTCATACAAAGAAATAAATTTAGACTATAGTGAAGAGAAGGAAGTAATTTAGATATCTGGAAGAAATTGTTTATGTCAAGATTGTTTAAAAAGGGAGAAAGGAAAGTATATTTTACCAGAGTAAGTCTTTTTTTTCAAATTTTTAAATGAAAAATTTTTTCCCTTACAGCACTTTGATTCTGTCTATACCATTAGAAAACAGGATACAGTGGATAAAAAATGTATCCTTAGATGTGGCATTTTTAAAACAACACTTTTCTCTCAAATCTTGACAAGTAGAAAACAGTATGTGCTTGTTTCTCAATCTTTTTGCTTCCCTTAAATACCCTGCAGGGAGGTCCATGTTAAAAATAAAATTACCGAAAGATTGTCAACAGAAGGTAATGAGTAGTTACCCTCGATAATTAGTTCTTTGCATAATTATATGTTATTAAACTTTTGAGAAAATTAAAAATACATTTGAGATAGTAAAATTACATGCTAAATGAAATCAAGAACTCTCAGGTATGAGAGAGTATAAAAATAGCATGAGTTTAACCATGTGCAAGTAGACAATCATTAACTTATAAAGAAGTTATAATCCAGAGTTGCCTGGGAGCTATTGTAGACACTGGCCTACTGTGTCTCCATCTGTAATGTCAATAATTCTTGACTGAACAAATCAATGAATGACTGGCAAAAACATTGATAAAAGTA